TTGCATGCTGGGTTGTTACTCTACTTGGTTTTGTAATTTTTGGGTGTAAACTACATCTATATAATGTGTTAATAAACTCCTCAGTTTCTGTGTGCTTGTTAGGATTCAACAAATCTATATTAAAGTCACCACATATGAACATTAATTTATGACTTATTGTCAAGTAATTTTCTTCCATCCAGTCATTAAATTTTTCTATGCTGGCTCCAGGTGCTCTATAAATACAGCTTATTACAACATTTTTCTTTTTTTCCACGAGTATTTCTACAGTCACACACTCCAGCAAATTATCCACCACCCTTGACATTTTCTCCATTCTCTTATAACTAAAGTTTTTATCTATGTACAAGGCCACACCACCTCCCATCTTATTCTCTCTGTTTGTGCATACCAAGTCATAGCCATCAAGGTCAAAATCCATTCCCCTTACAGTGTTAATCCAAGTTTCAGAAATAGCAATTATATTAAAAGAATGTTTTAGACTACTAAGATAATGTTTTATACTCTGAAAGTTTGCGTATAAACTTCTGCTATTAAAGTGAATTAGTGATAATTTGTTTTCAGTCTTGACATTGCTGTTAAACTGCTCATCCGTGTAATACTTGCAGTTATTTTCAGAGTTCTTAAAAAAGTTTTTTTCAGGGTCAAAATCTTTGTCCGGTTCATGATAATGAATTTCAGTATTTCCAATAGTGTTCAGTTCCAGCTCCAGTCCCTCAAAAACTATTAACTTCTGTAACAAATCACTTGCCTCATTCCGTACATGGGTCATGTACGGAATGAGATGCAACTGAACTTAATTACAGCTGCTGTGTGTCATATTTGCATTAAATACTGTCGCCATGTTAGGTGTGATTAATAAAAATGTTATTACATTTTTATTCAGTTTCAACTTCAAGTCATGTTTTCTAAGGCTTGTCCATCAGTACTTGCATGTACAGTATCACCTGTTAATAAACCTTACAACTGTACTAGACAAAGTCAACTGCTCAGATCTGGGAGCAGCAACATTTCTATGACAAAGTCAGATGGGTCAAGAATATAGTCCGATGCTCAGACTAATTGCAAACAAGATAACAGTTAATCCAAATTATCTAAACCACTTTTTTTGGAGGTGAATCTGAAAGTAAACATACCCATGAAGCTGCTAATTATCCCTAAATGCAAAAGAAAACTGTGTACAAACACTGAAGTATAGTAAATCACAGCTGAAGTCAGTCTGTACACCGATAGATGGATTACAACAGTTTGTGTAACAATGTTATTGTTTACCTTCAATTTCTCACCCAAATAGGTTTGACTAACCTGGGGCTTTGTTTTCTCTATTAACCAGTGTCTGTGTGGGTCACAGTAATAACTACTATTTCATTCTGCTTACATGCTCAGACCTTATAAGCCTTTTGAGACATCGTTCCACTGGCAGTTATTGCATTATGTCTACATTTTGTTCTTCTTTTTATGCTCTCCTGAATAGTACCTCTGATCTTTTCCACATTTCAGGGTCAGTCTTGGCCAAAAAGACTCTCTTCTAAAAATTACATTCCTATATAGCCTATGCAACTACTCTGCAAATGCTGATACATTTTGTAGTGAACTTTTTTGGTTATTAGATTATATTCTGATGCAACATAACTAATTTGTGAATGAATGAACCGCTGCATTTTCAGCAGCTGAAAAAGATGGAGAAGGGATGCTGCTGATCATCACATCTGATGTTTGTCTCCATGGCCCCTCCTGGAGATCACGCTCGAGTTTGTCAGTCTGGATGATCTGAATTTCATTCTGTCACTTTTTGTAAATGGAGTCTGTAGTCAGCACTAAACTGTGTCGCTGTGAACCATCCACGTCATCAATATGTGGTTGAACAATACACAAACACTCACAGTTGCCACTTGTGCTTGAGTCGGTGTTGTGAATCAATCATGACACCTTAAATTTTATTATCACAACGTAGAACATTCCATTTTGCAGGACATACACTTTACTGATGATTGGATTTTCAAGCACTCACAACAATGCAACATTATGAATTTCAACCAGATTATGCCAGTAGGCCTGTTCTTTGTCCTTTCTTGGATAAAAAAAAGTGGTGGAGCGTCGTTCCAGCAGCACTACACCAATGGTTAATCTGTCTCTTTTGCTTTGTTGGTATTACATTATCAGTAAAATGCTTCCAGCCAATGTATTTTTTTCAAATCTTCCAGCACACGACTCACAGGTCTTGGTTAAGAGTAAACAAAACTAAAAAAAAAAGACACCAGAACTCAAGGGGGAGTTAACCTGAAGCCAATTGAAAGACAATGCTGTGCTTTATGCCTTTTGCCGCTCTCCCCACTTGTTCTGTCAGTAGGAAAATGCAGCATTTCATTCATTCAAAAATTACGTTGCATTGGAATACAATGCAACAGTGAAGGCCTTCCTTACAAAACATAGCTGCATTTGCATTTTAGTTGCATAGAAACATTTTAAGAGAATGGGCGACTGAACAAGTAGGCTATAAACTAGTAATCTGTAAATTAAGACAGCGTTGTGATACTCGGCTGTTAAACCCTCATTCTGCTCCTTGTGTTTTAATGAAGCTGTATTGACAGGATCGTTTTACAAAGTCCACATAACTACAGGGTTATGACAGCAGCTGTGTGATAGGTCAGATTTCATTCAAGCATACTTTACTATTCATTATTTCTTAGCATAACATAAATATGTTAACCATGTTTAACAGATCTTTGACTAGAAACGTGAAGCCCAGTGTAACAGATAATAATTATATCTGATGGAGTACCTGTATGATACGGATTATGGTCAGACAGTTCTACTGTATAAAAATGTGGCCTAAACAAAAACACGACTCTGCAGCGTGGATACAGTACTTCAGGCAGTCACGCTCTGATTTGTGTTCTTGAGAACAAAGACCTGACACTTCTAAGTGTAATCCACATAACATGGTACTTGAACTGGAAAGATATCTTAAAGTAATCAGGTACACACCCCAATATACTGAATCTCCAGGTCATGGTACTGCTTGGCACCAAGGATCCACTTCACCACGTATGCTGCAGTGATGTCTGGGAAGTCATAGGGCCAGTTCTTGCCATGGCCTACCCAACCAGGAAATGCCCAGGGCAAACCTGCATACAGGTACACAGGAACACACATGCAAAGCTGGAGCTGCTTTGTGTACTATCAGTTAGGGATGCACACCCTCAATCCTTAACCAATAATAAGAATCCCAACTGATTAATACTATCAGTTAAAATTTTTTAAACCATCTGCTGAAAAATAGGCTATAGGGCCTACATATCAGCTTCATGGGGGGATTAAGGCATTTGCTCTGAAAAGAGGTAATGTTCATGGCCTCCATCTAATATATCACACGTCTAAAGTAACTGGAGCTGCCTCAGAACAGAAGCTACTTTGTTTTGCTATTTTACTCCGTTCACAGTTCTGTGTGTGAGACACTCATCTATTCTAAATAGCCTAGCATTTTCATCTTGTTGGTAAACGGTTAATGGTTGGTTGTTTAAAAAACCCCCAACTAGGAGTCAAAAAAAAAAAAAAAAAAAAAAAAAAAAAAAAAAAAAAACACAACAACTTTGAAAATGTGCATCCTTACTACCAATTTTTAGTATTTACATCAAACTCATGCCCCCAGCCGGTGTCTGTTTGCCCACTGAGACTAGATTTTCCACCAGTCCTGTTTGCCAATGTAAATAAATAAATAAATACAAATACATGCTTCATATGTCAGACTTGCTAAACTTGTAAAACTAGTCTGTGGTAAGGTCCCCTGCTTGTTAAACATGTTGCCATATGTTTTCAAACCATATGAGACTATATTGTATGTATATGCATTCAAAAACACTAGGCTACATCAACTAATGAAGTCATACTTTGATCACAAGTTTACTTTTACATTCTCATGTGATCGTTAGTTCCATTAGATTCTGCTTTATCAGCTGTTAGTCTGACCTCATTGGAGAGTAGAGCAAAGGAAGACATGACAGTGCACCTTCTCACCAATGAGTGTAATGTTTGGGTTCCTCTTCTTGGCTTCTTTCATAAGCCACCACTCATAGCCTCTGAAATAGTTCTCGTCATTATCATAGTGCATGTGCGATGGCTCTGTTCCATCTGAAAATGATAATAGTTCAGTATTAAAACCATGAGATGGCATACTACAAAGCAGCTTGTTTCTTCATTAAATCATCTATGGGTCCAAAGTTTATCTATGATCCATTCTCTACTTTCTCAGAACAGTCAGGTTAAACTATACAAGATCTGTTCTAATGGTAGAGGTCTGTTGTTCTGTAACTGTTAACCACCAAGAATCTATAATATACAAGATCTGTTCTAATGGTAGAGGGGGGGGGAACAAACAAACAAACACAAAATGTGTAAGACTTTACATCTGCAAGTAAAAATACACGACTACAGTCATGGCCAAAAACATTGGCACCCCTGCAATTCTGTTAGATATGTACTGGTTTAAGTTACAGTACATTAAGTTACACGTTAATATAGATTATGTAATAGAATAGTGTGTTTGTGTGAACTGGACAATGGGCTTATATAATTTGGCCAAGATGTTTCCTATTTTGGGGTACATCTCAGGGTGCAGTCTCCTAAAACTGGAGACAGGAAGCTAAGTTCGGAAATTGACGTAACAGCCTAAGAAAGCTGTGGATAAAAAGGGTAAGGCTGAAGGGCGTAGAAGGAGAATGCTTCTGTGACAGAAGAGTGTGTGCTTTTTCAGACCCAGGCCTGGGTAGGGGGAACGGACTCTGGACTGACTGGACCCCTGACCAAGACTGACTGACTCTGTGACAATCTTCTTATTTAATACTGTATCTATTCCATTGCAGGAGAGGTGATTCTGTTCTCTGTTCCCCAACTACCAGATTACCTATTCAACTACTACCCTGTTCAGAATAATTGTAATATTAAATGATTATTTAAATTGGGATGATTTATCTAAATTAATTTAGTCTGTATCAGATTCTAGATACTACAGATAAGGCACCACTTCTACCAGAAAACTGTTACAATCACAAATTCGTTGGTATTCTCATGTTTATTTCTATGGTTTGGTTTGGTTCTCCATGCTCGGTGTGGGCCACACCGAGCATGGAGAACCAAAGAAAAGAAAGAAGAGCAAAGAATTGTCTGAAGATCTGAGAACCACAATAGTGGAAAAGCCTGGACAGTCTCAAGGCTCCAAGTCCATCTCCAGAGATCTGGCTGTTCCTGTGTCCACTGTGTACAACATTGTCAAGACATTTACAGCCCATGGTGTTGTAGCTAATCTCATGGATGTGGACGAAAGAGAAAATAGATGACAAATTGTTCAGATGGTGGATAAAGAACCTTGATCAACTTTCAAACAAATTCAACCTGACCTACAGGCACAGGGTGCAACAGTGTCAGCTCACAGTATCCGTCACCATCTGAATGACAAAGGACGTGATGGTAGTAGACCCAGGGGGACCCACTGCTGACACAGAGACATAAAAAAGCTAGAGTGGAGTTTGCCAAAATCTACCTGAGGAAGCCACAGTCCTTCTGGGAGAATGTCCTGTGGACAGATGAGACTAAAATAGGGCTTTTTGTTCAGGCACATCATTCTATTGTTTTCAGAAAACAAAAGTGGCCAACAATGAATCCAGCTCTAAATCCCATAGATCACCTGTGGAGAAATCTCAGAACAGCAGCTGGGAGAAGGAACCTTCAAATCTGAGAGACCTGGAGTAGTTTGCAAAAGAAGAGTGGTCCAGAATTCCAGTAGAGAGGTGGAAGAAATTCTCTGAAGGTTTCAGGAAGTGACTGATGTCAGTTATTTTGTCCAAAGCATGTGCTACCAGATATTAAGTTGAGGGAGTCAATAATTTTGTTCAGTCCATTTTTGGAGTTCTGTGTGGAATGGATCAGATTTGGATTTTTTGTTTCTCTGCGTTTTTGTGTTGTTCCAATGCAAACAAAAGAAATAAACATGAAAATATCAACAAATTTGTGATTGCAACAATTTTCTAAAAGTGATGCCTTATCTGACAGAAATGCAGGGGTGCCAGTACTTTTGGCCATGTCTGTACATGTAATCAAGAGTTGACATTCTCAGCAACATACTGAAATAACCCCACATTGTTAAAACTGCATTTTATTCCAAAACATTTCAAAGAAATGTAGGGCTGCATGACAAATTGTTTATGTGCAAGTGATTTCAATCTCACTCTCACATGACAATGGTTATGTTGTGTTTGCATTAGCAGTGAGGTCCCTTATATCAAACTAAGCCCTCACTTTTCCTGGCTAAGATGCGTTAACCAATAATCGCAACTAATAGCTGCAAAGTGATTTATTTCTGCCTCACCTGCTATTTGGCACTAGGTGTACAAGGCAGGCAGCACAACATTTGAAAAATAGTTGCAGTAGGGCATAAAATTAGAGCTGTAGCGATTATTCGACTTAATCGATTATGATAATTAGTCGATTTGCATATTAATCGTCGACTTGTCATATGTAGGAAACAAAAAAAAAAAGTAAGACAAGTTTCAGTTTCACACTCCAGAGCAGATGGTGGCGGTAATGCGCCAAAAGCTGGATGCCAACCGCCCTTTAAAAGGACGCAGAAGAAGATAAGTAGGAAGTAGGCAGTAACGCGAGCATAGATACACATAGCACTAGCAGCATGGTGTGTCCGGGGAACGCGAAAATACCGCGACTGCAGTCACCAAAGGTTTGGAAGTATTTCACACAGATACCAAAC